TGTTCATTCACACATGTAATAAACTGCAGACCCACTTCAGAGCCTACAAAAGTGAACAAGGAGGTTTTATAGTTGAACAAATGCCACGACTGTTCAAAATCGTACAACTGTTGCAATGACCAAACTTATGAGGTGTTACACTGAAAACTGGCTGATCTCGAAATAGTGAAAGTGGCAGTGTGAGGTGCGTTCCATTCGACATTTTAGCCAAATACCATAATTTTTAGCAGAATCATTTGATGTTGTTAATGAAAGAAGAGAATAGTAATAATAATGATACAATCCTAAGTATGACATTAAAACACGGTCTTAATAAGAATTATTTCTAAAAAAGCCGAAAGCGACTGCAATTCTAGATATCTCACTCATAATACTTTCGACTCAGAGCAGGGGAAGGCACTAAGAGTGTAAAAATAGTGGAGGTTCTCTGGAGCTCCTTATTAAACAAGTGACTTGTTCAACATACATTGTCGACCCTGTCCTTCACATTTATTTATTCATTCATCCATGGGATAATCCTCTTTCAACTAGTCTGCGTGGATCGAGCCCCAGAGTACGATTGTCAACAATGGGAACGGGAAGGTCGTTGTGTTAAGGACAAACTAGCCATGGACCGGGTGTGCCGAGCCACGTGTCACAAATGTCTACATCGCTGCCGAAATCAAATCCCGATGGCACACTGCGAACGACTGCGGCAGCAAGGTCTGTGCGGAGATAAACTTTATCAAATGCTCTGTCCTCTCACATGTAGGCCTCAGAAATGCAGTAAGTTGAGGACGAATTCCAACACAATGAATGACCATTGTTATGCAGTGATCGTACGTTCGATAAATTGCCTCTATTCCATTACTGCCTAGAGTCCACATCAGAATAAGCTTGCCCAACCTCATTTGCACCAAAAAACAAGAAAAATTGTTTGTTCCCTACCATTTTGCATCTATTGTAGTTCTACTGTTATTTTATTGCGAAGAGTAGCTCACTCGAATTCTTTGGACGTTTTATATTCTACATGAACTGATCAAGGCTGAAGTGTCGGCGGGCATACAGAAGGCTCCATTGGTATTTGCCAACTTAAGATATCTGTGGCACCATCGCAACACTCGGCTATCTGTTAAGGGTCGAGTGAATGCTGCAGCGGTTCTGCCGGTGCTGTTATACAGCGCAGAAACAAGGACAATTCCGAGAAAAGGATAAAAATAGGCTGTCAGTTTTCGATCACCTTTGTCTACCTCTCTTTTCAGGAATCTGGTGGGGAAGCCAGACCATAAATGCAGAGCTTTAGGTGGTCGCGGTCTCCCAATGAAGCAAGTGGTAGACCTCCATAGAATACACTGGTTGGGGCATATCACCAAATAGGTTACCACGGTGCGCGATGTTTGCCGTGGTATTTAGTGAGTAGATAAAAGTCAAGGGTGGTCAAAATCAAACTTGTCAAGAGGGTATAAAAACCCTAACCAGGAGACTTGCTTGCATAAGTCGCATTAGGCTTCCTGGATGGTGGCATAAGGATCATTGAAATTAATGCTTAGTGTTACTAAGCGATATGGTTGAGTGTCGTATACAGTTGCGCCCGTGTATCTCCACAAGTCTTTGCAACCGTGGTCTACTGGAATTCTCCATTTTCTCTTCCTCACTGCTTTCAACTACGAAATCTTCCTTCTACCCCTTCATTTAAATGGGCAGTCATGGAACAGCAACATTTTTATGTGAGACAAATGCATATTAACGGTGACGGCTCTTCCAAATAAAGCGTTCCTTCGTATCCTCTTCGTGTAGAAGAAGGAGAGGATTGAGAAAGATCCATAGACTAAAAATCATTTTCTGTTTCAAAACTATGTAAAAAACCGATGTCCTAGCAACTGCTTTTATTTTCACGCTTGTTTCGCAGTTATTTGTGAGCAATGGTTTGAGATAAGTGATAATGACTTTGGATTCACCATCCTTTTCACACGCAGTCCTCATCGAATCAACCATACAACAGCTCGGTAAGCACTATAGACTAACACTATAGACTACTCCCGTTAGAGCTCATCAGTTGTGTATCTCTACGGTCCCATCGGGGCTTTAGCCTTTGAACCTTTGAAGCGTGAAAAACTTACGTGAAATCTAAAGGTTGCTCGGTCCCAAATCAATATCACCTGTTCCACGACACTAATCACAAGCAACTGTAGGGAAAATGTGAATTACAAAAATATTCAACCTGGTGGTTTCAGTTGTGACAAAGCAACCTCATGAAAGACCTGATTTAGTTGGAGAGGGGCTTTCACTTGGAGTTAACATGTAGTAAACTGTCTTCATTGCTGTTAGGCTTTAAAATGAACTGACTGACTATCATAGAGGATTAGAACTGTAGAAACTGGAATTGATCGTTTTGGTGGAGCTGGTGGGCACTGAGGTAGCACATTCACAAACCATTTATGCCAGGTGTCCGAGGATCGTATCACGATTGCGGATGTGGATATGTCTAATGAGAGCCGCTTCAAACCATTTCGCAAGATTCTCATCAACTCTGTGTCTATATTCTTTTAACTAAACGTAACGAGTTCTTACAAAACCGTGACAAAAGAACGTTCCTAAAACGGCTATCTTTCATCCCCATCAAGGGTGAGTAGATTTATCGTGTTTTGTAATTGTTGTTATCCTACCGTTCCGGTTAGTGAGGTCCTATATTTCAAGCTAGTCTGCTTTGTATACAGTGCAGTCTTATGACTTACCACTTTTCAGCCCGGATTCAGTTGACACTCTGTTTCCCTACTAATCATTACAGGTTGCCCACCTTGCCGAGTGGAGACTGGAATGTGCAATCCTCATACCAAAAATATGGAAGTGCGCAGAATCTGCTTCCGACTCAGACCAGATGGACAATGTGAGCCGTTAACCATACGACAATTCAGACCTTGTGGAGGTAAGCGATCAGTGTGCGTGCATTTGCTAATGTAACGAGAAATCTTTAATAAACTGAATATATTTTAACTCTGACAAACTCAGGAACCTCGGTGGAATTCAAACCCACGCATAGACGCCTACTATGTATAGTGCTCACGATATCAGTTGAGCTACGAGGCCAGGCCGATAGCACTGATCTTTTCAAATTTAGATTACCTACTCAACATGCAGAAACTAGGTAGCATGTAAGCTGACAACCACGACAGGTTTTCCTTAGGAGTAACCAGAATCCGCCGAATGTACTTCTAAGGCTGGGATACTTGTTTGAATCCCACCGAGGCTACCGAACTTTTAGGCATTCAAAATAGGACCTAAACACCTCAAATTAGATTATTTGAACGTATGAAAATAAATTACTGGTACATCCGAATTCTTTCTCCCTCAATGTTCCGCTTCGAGAAACAGATCAGTTTCTAGTATAAAGGATCGACCAGAGTAGTGCATGCATTCGAATTCTTTTCAACATCCGTTTCGTTTGCTCCCACTGGATACCATTTGATCAACATCTATGGTTCAACATAGTAGGTTGGGAGTGGAAACTAAACAGCTTTTTGAAAGCACATGAACAGCATCGCAGACCGGAATATTCAATCATGAAAGAAAATGAGCGAAACTGATTGCTCTGTAAAACTCACAAAATCTGTATGATTTTCTACTTTATCCTTGATGGGTATTCCTAAACACTTTCTATAAACCAATATGCGTTTACAAAACACGTTTATGATTCGGGAGCCACCGATTTCAACAAAAAAGGTGACGAATCACAAACACACAGTTCCCTTTGAGTTGACAAATACTCCGTCGGTTCTGTAAACAGCGGCGAAAATAGATCATCACGTTTGCTCTCTATCGTTCCGCCTTTTTTGACAGTTCATTCTGATTGTTCATCCTCCGCTTACAGACGAATTCTGATCTATAACTAAAACTGAATTAGGTTACACGTAAGGCAGATGTTGGATGTGATTACTCAAAACAGTATAGTATAGTTGACTGGAAGATTTGAGGATTGTGCCCGAAGCTGAAGTCTGAAGGATGTCCCGTTCAAATCAGTATGAGGTATATCACTCACACCATTACTCACAGGTAACTGTGAGTTAATTGCGAATTATTAATCAACCCTAATAGGATTAAGGAAAGTCAGAACCTAGCCTTCATGGAAAATCTAATTTAGTGGGAGGCTTTCTATTGGAGTTAACAGATTGTCAAGTGTATCTCCCTTCGTTGCTGTCGGGCCAAAATGAACTTACTGAAGACGACACGTGAACAAATGTGAATCGGAAATTCAGTTCAGCTCTGGTATGAAATGCTTAGCGCAGTGGTAACACACACGCCTTCCATGCGGTGGGTCCGGAGTTCAAATTACGGGTGAGACGGTGGATAAGCACTACTGATGGGGTATGATAAGAGCAAAACTCGAGTCTAGTGCTTCCGAGTGTATGGTAGACTGGATAAACTGAGGATTGTGTGTGAAGGTTCATACTGAAGGATGATCAGCTCCAATCAATATCAATCGCGCTACATAAAGCCGTAGAACAATGCGAGGGCACAACCTTTAATCTAGAACTGCAATCCAGGGTTTCAAATTTGTTCTCATATTTTAATAATTCTGTGGATTCGTGCCTGAAAGAAGCTGGTTTTTCGTTCGGAATCTCGTTACTGCCACGTAAAAGAGTGCGTACCAAAGTAAACACAGGTCCTTCTGATTTCCAAAATTCTTTCCGAATGTAGGCTACGACAAGTATACCAAATATACCGGCCGTCTCTCGTAATTGGGGATTGGAGACAAAACAAACAACAGTTTAAGGGTGAATGGAGCGACAAAGAGAGGTGATGTTCAATTTCCTAACCTCCTCCTCCCCCTCGACATCATAATCGTACAGCTGTATACACTGAGGCACATTTTACCGATCGTTGCCGAACTCACAATGCACACAAAATGAATCAGAATGTATAAGGATCGGGCCCATTTGAAGGGAGGAAAAGGTGAACCTCTATGGTCAAAAAAGAGAGTGTACTACCGAACGGTGCATTCAAACCTTTTCTGACCTGATAGGAAGTGACAAAAAGAACTCTCCTGTTATCAGTTTGCTGTCATATCCTTCAGGGTCTCCAACCAACCACCTGTAGTCTTTTAGACTCCAAACTGAAAGACGCGCAAATTAACGATCTCACAACCGTCAAGCGGAACTGAGCAGACAGTGGCACAGTATGCGCGACCTTTCAGTTTCAACGAAACATCATGTTGGTACCAACGGTTTTTCAATCCTGTGTTCGCTGCTCGTGTCTTAAAAATGTGTGCGGTTACATCCTTGACTAGGTTACTGTATTTTGTCAGGCAAGTACCGAAATGACGGGAATATTCTACTGTAATTAACACTTCACCATGAGCCGGGGTAGACGAAACCCAATCTTGCAGAATCAGTTCACACCCTGAAGGTGTACAAAGTGCACTTTCGTAGCCTAACACCAATCGAGTATGAAAATTTAAGAGTAACTAGTGATGGCTTGGATATAGTAGGGAAAATTGAGAAAGGGGTTCCGCTGTAATGAAGGTGGCTAGAATGCAACTAAACTTCACTTTGTTGGTAACTCCAGACCAGTTCTTCGTCAATAAATTCGTTCACTTGGGGTAGGGCTATGCTAGTTTTGAATCGTGATATCAACTTAATCGTATGTGATTAGCCAAAGGAAATGTCGGATGGCGTTTAAATTTAGAATGTGGCCAGAAATTCATGAAAGTTGACCAAAATGTGTAACTAATCAGAATAACCAGGTATCACCTATGTGTTTTATATTCTAGAGCTGAAGTTTAACAATAATTCGTGACGGATTCATGCAAACTGGTTTTCGTTTTTAATGCAGCTTTTTGGTTTGAATTTCTATTCATACCGGTGGAACAAGTGTTGAATTTTGTGTACAAAAATACTCTGACGCCTCGAATTGGCATTAGTGTTGTTCAACTAAAGGTTACCGACTGAATGGCAAAGATCTGTTCAAACACTGATGAGGTCAGATACAGACCAGATGATTACATAATCGATTGATTCACATTTTGAATTTATACAAATCTGACAGCCATAAGTGTTTTATTGTGGACAACCGCATGAAGATAGGACAAAATGAGAATCTGCACTCTTTGGAGAGAATTCTCCCTCAAGCACAAATGACATCAGAAGTCCCTGAGCTGAATCAACTCCCTCCAACTCTATTACACTCATGCTTTGATCGGCGCCTTTTACCAAGAATGATCTAATTAGTCATCACTGAGGAAAGTTCTATCTTTTTTAGATGCCTGAGTTTACAAGAAACTGAAACATAATTATATTATGGCTGTTTACATGAACAAAATGTTAAGTCAGATTTTTTCCTAGAGCACCCGATAAACCAATTTACTGAGACCTGATTCCCCGTTTTTCGATCTCGTTAAAAGAGTTAAAGAATAGAACGGGGTTGGATATCTGCGCAGATGTATTACTGGAACAGGTATACTGAACCGGAACTCTGGATTGTATATCATAAGTACCGATAGTTAAATTTCGATCATCCTCCCATGAGTATTGATGTTGAATAGCTTCCCATTGTACGGACAGGACATGTGCATTCGTTTTGGCATCAATCGGCCAAAACGAACGAGAACACTCACTCTAATTCAACTCTCAACACGCTTGACTTCATTTTGATTCGGAACTATTCAATCAGAGGTTCTTCATCCGTTCTCCCGTTTACCACCAACAGAATGCCCTCCAACATTGCAACGCATTCCCGGACAATGTGACTACTGCAAAGGCGAACGATTGGTTCACTTGAAAACATTTTTCCGCGAGGAGGGTGGTCAGTTCCGGTGTCGTTTGGTCGACAATGTACATCCGGAACCGTGTTGTAAGTTTGGTTTCTCGCACAGTCCAGTCAGTGTCACATGTGTTTGTTAGCCGTTTAAAGTCAATCGGTAAGGTCCTGACGAATTCCTTGCAGCCGTTGATGATTCAGTTGTCAGG